CTGTTGATTATGCAGATCGTCCACCATAACTGATCTGAGGGATTTCGCAGCAAATCACATTAGTATTTTATCGGAAGGGGCAAAACTGAATGGCTGCGACATGCTGCTCGTCTTTTGATTCAGTGATAGGTCTTGCATACTACTCTGTGGCGCTAGCAGGAAAGAAAAGGAGCTCTTACAAGGGGACCTGGCATAGCTTTATTCTGCTTTTAGACCATCTCAGTAACATTTGAGGGGCTTAACAGTCTTGACTGTTTTTGATTTCTCATGTTTTATGAAAATGTTCAAATTTCTTCATTCTCTGGGAAATGTGCAGAGGTGAAGTATTCAAGGAACTTGGAAAATACGCTATTCATGCTTTACCTGGAATACCGTAGTTTACTTGGAACACTCCATTTTTTTAGTGCATTTTTGCGTCACTGGTATGAGAAAAAAAGTTGATCATATCTTTAGGTAAGTGAACGCCTGTAAGGAACTGCGGGAGTTTTGAAGCTGAAGCCCGGAAGCATAATACCCAGCCGTTTGGAAACGTAGCATCAGTCCTAATTTGAAGGACATTAAATATTCGGCCTAACGACCGAATTTCATGCAACACACTCACAAAACGCAGCTTCGCATCTCTGTCTCATCCGCTCGAAACAGCATTATTTGGCGAATAAGTCAAAATCATAATATGCCCTCACTGCTTTGTCACACTCGCTTGTTGTGTGCCCGCACAGTTTATCGTAAATTCGTCTGACGATAACGCTTTTTCCAAGAGTATCGCTATATCCATTTGTTGTATCGGTAAAAATACTTCCATACATCTCCTTCCTTTTCTTTCATCCCTTGCATTGGTTCTTCGCTTGCTGTCGATGACCTCGCCCCGCACTCATCGTCACTGCCTTTAAAATCTGGTCTCGAACACAGTTTTTGTAGCAGTTCTACGCCAACCGTTTAATTTCTTCTTTCAGACGCTGAGTGATTTTTGGAAGGTACTGTCAGAGCATGCCAGCTACATAGGTACAGATGACGAGTGGCTCATCAATCTTCTGCAATATTTCACAGTTATACATTATTTGGAACACCGTAGTTTACCGATCGTATTTGTTGATTTCTTGAAAAAAGCAGTATCCAAAGATACGGAGTTTGAAATATTGCTTGGACATATCGAGAAATCAGATTTGGCATCCGCTATCAAACATGTCGGCGAAAACCTAAACAGAAACAGATGCAAATGGTAAACGCACCACTATCTATCAAACGTATCCTGACGTCTACAACCAATGTTTGCCAAGTTTCAGAGCCCCATCGGAAAGAAACGGTGCATCAGTGCTGTTAGTATAACCCAGATCTGCACCAAAGCCATATCTTGCTGTTTGTTAGAAAATTTGCCAAAGATATCGCTTTGCTACTAAGCAAACACCTGCTGGCAGTACTCGAGATGTCTGCTTTCCTAGGAAGCTCTTTGGAAGTTAAGCTAAGAATGGCGCTAATTGAACGATCGAGATAGCATTGTACTGGGGCTGAACTGCTTGCTGCGAATTTAAAGCAATTTTTCAGACCTGGGAGTTTGCGTCATTTGCAGTAAGTTCACGAAAAATGAACGGGTGGCGACTTCTTTATTTTTTGAGGAATTTTATCGCTTTTTAGCATTTTGCAAGATTTTTAGTGACAGTCATATTGGAGTTCAAATGCACCGCTTTGCAGTAAACAATTGAATTGTGCCTTCGCTTTCTGTACTGTGCGTAAACTCGATTGGAATTGTAAAGCTGTGTTATAATTTGGTATCAGTTATTTGGGATAGCCTAAGTTTTCAGTTTTTTTTAGTATCTGACGAGTACA